GAGGAAGAGACTCCAATAAACCCCACCTTGGTGTTTTTAATGAGATTGACATCGGCGTGTGGGAAAGGCCAGGTGAGGGAAGAGGCAGAGGAGCGATTTCAGGGGTGCTCTTGATGGACCACTGAGAGAAGGGCAGAACCTTCAAATCCCAAAAGTGCATTTTTTTTCATGACGCAACTGGACTTTCTTGCCTTTTCTTTGTAAGATGTTTCACTTCTCATCCAGAAGCTTCTTCAGTTCCGACTGGATGGTGGGGAATGGAAGGATTGATACTCCAGACAGAGTTGGTCGTTTGCATCCTTTTGGAGGGTGATCGAGGCCCCTTGGAGGTTGACCTGTGTCCTCAGAGTCACCTGAGTGGGGATTCCAAGGGCTTCAATGACCCTCTAAAAGGATGCAAATGACCCGTTCTGTCTGCAAGGAGTATTAATCCTTCCATCCAGCCCCACCATCCAGTCAGAGCTGAAGAAGCTTCTTGGATGAGAAGCGAAACGTCTTCAAAAGAAGAAAACCAGAAAGTCCAATTGCCTCTTGGGGGAAAAAAGGAAGGAGCTTTGGGACAAGCAGGGCCTGGATGACCCAGAATCATCCTTGAAAGGATCTCCAACTCTCCTTTGAGTCTGTGGCCAGTCCTCATAATAAAATAAAAGGGGTGTTTTTTAAAAAAAAATATAAGTACAAACAATTCATCTTCCATTTAACGGTGTGTCGTCTTGTGTGACAATAATCAAAATTACTACCCTATTCATTACATTGATGTTAGTTCTCCATCGTTATCTTGTTATTAATATACATAATATCTCTCACACTATAACAATAGCCTGTTTAGATCTTCACTTATTATGAGTATATAATAATCTATCTATCATTATAACAATCCTTTTCTTACCGTGTTTAATTCTATGAAGATATTTTCCGTATTTCACTGCTCTATTAGATATTTCTAGCTTACTGTGTTTTTGGCTCTAGCCATCAATAAAATAGTTCCAGTCCGTGGCCAGTCCTGATGCTCAGGCGTGTTGAGTAGAGGAAGCCAGCTCTTCATCGTCTCTACGTGGCCCTCCCACGCCTTTCCTGGTCTCTCCCCTCCTCGCTCCTTGCAGGATGAAGCTCACCGTCTGGGGGGGTCTGCTGGCCGTGACCCTCCTAGCAGGCCCTGGAGCAACTCAGAGTTGCAGGACCCTACCTATAGGTAAGAACAGGGGTGGGATTCAAAAATGTTTACTCCTGGTTCTGTGGGCGTGGCTTGGTGGGCGTGGCAGGGGAAGAATATACTGCAAAATCCCCCTTCCCTCCCCACCCCACTGACCTGCTTTCCAGCTCCGTTCTCCTGTGCAGGGCAAACAAAGGAGACCCAGCCGATCAGATGGGACTCAATGGGAGGCGGAGAAGAGATGGGGTTGGCGGGGCCAGTCAGAGGCAGGATTGGCCGGTTCTCCAAACCACTCAAAAGTTCCGCTACTGGTTCTCCAGAACTGGTCAGAACCAGCTGAATAATACCTCTGGGTAAGAACCACCACAAGACCCCTGTGTGTGCTGTGTGTACGGAGATATAGTTGTATTCCTGGCCATTTCAAAGCCCCCCTCTAGTCCCCGCCTCCAACTCCTCTTAGATACCAGCAGCCTCCAAAGGTGCTTTTTCAAACAGGACTTTTGCCTTGAAGATGTTTTCCTTCTCATCAAATTGAGCCAAAGAAGCTTCTCGGATGAGAAGAGAAATGTCTTCAAGGAAAAACCAAGAAATTCCAGTTGCCTCTTGAAAGAAAAAGCACCTTTGGGACAACCAGGACCTGGAGGGTGGAGCCTCCGACATATTTGGGGAAGAACGGAGAGTGAAGGGTCTGCGTGCTTCTCATCAAACTGGGCACTTGGCCCTTTCATTTGCATTGGTGGCATAGTGGTCAGAATGTAGTCCTGCAGGCTGACTCGGCCCACTGCCAGCAGTTCGATCCTGACCAGCTCAAGATTGACTCAGCCTTCTGCCCTTCCGAGGTCAGTTAAATGAGGCCACAGATTGTTGGGGGCAAAAGGCTGACTCGGTTAAACCGCTTAGAGAGGGCTGTAAAAGCATGGTGAAGCGGCATATAAGCCTAGGTGTTAGTGCAAGGAAGGAAGGAAGGAAGGAAGGAAGGAAGGAAGGAAGGACCATGGTGGCACAATGGTTAGAGTGCAGTATTGCAGGCTGACTCTGCCCACTGCCAACAGTTCGATCCTGACTGACTCAAGTTTGACTCAGCCTTCTGTCCTTCTGAGATCGCTAAAATGAGGACCCAGATTGTTGGGGGGCAAGTGGCTGACTCCAATGAAGGTGCTGCTGGCTGGTTGCTTGAGAGGGCTTAGTGAGGGCCGTAAAGCCCTGTGAAGTAGTGCGTAAGTCTCAGTGCTACGGCTGTTGCTATTGGAGTTGTGGATTCTCCATCACTGGAGCTTTTCAAAATATAGATTAGACCAGCCATCGGCCACCGATGGGCTGCAGCCCACTGGTGGTCTGTGAGAAAATTTTGGTGGGCCGCAGAGAAATCTCACCCCCAGAGCACCCCCACAAAGCAATTAATCCAGGCTGTGCAGAAACACAAGGCTGCGCCACCCACATGGCCCGCGGGAACCCTCCCCACTCACTCACTCCTTACCCGGTAAACTTGCCTGCTAAATTGCTATTTTTCCTTTTTCTGACCATCAGCTGTTCTGCTGTGCCAGGAGATTTAGATTAGCTAGGAAGCAGGAAATGGTTCGATTTCTTGCTTTCTAGCTAGTCTTTAGATCTTCGCCTCTGCTTTAAGTACAGCCGAACCTCCCTTAGGACTGAAGGTTGGCTTGCAAGCAAGTTCAGTGCAGACTCACGGCAAGCAAATTTGAGAGACTGAGCTAGCCGATGGCAGATAGATAGATCACTGAATGATTCTGTGAGCAACTCAATCGGCCTGCTTTGCCTGATTTTGGGTAAAAGTTGCTCTTTTTTAAAAATAAAAAAATTCAATATTTACATGCATGGTGTGTTGTGAGTTAATTTTGTGAGTTTGCTTGCAAGCAAATTTTACGTGACAGACTGAGCTAGCCAATGGCAGATAGATTTCGGAATAAATCAGTGATTCTGTGAGCAACTCAATTTGCCTGCCTGCTTTGCCTGATTTTGGATAAAAGTTGCTCTTTTTTAATAAAAAAATTCAATATTTATATAAATATTTATAATATTTACATACAAGCCATGCCCAGCCAGTCACATGCCACGAATTAGGCCACACCCACAGAACCAGTTAGTGGTCCCTGGGATCTAAAATTATGAGTTTGGTGGTCCCTGAGATCCAAAAGGTTGGCGACCCCTGGATTAGACAACCATTTGACCAGGATGGGATAAGGTCACCTATGTTGAGCAGAGGGTTAGGCTAGAAGACCTCCAAGGTTCCCCTCCAGCCCTAGGGTTCTATGTTCTATGATGTACCTTTTATGTTTTTCTATTCCACAAACATCCACTACACCAGGGCTCTCCAACCTTGGCCACTTTAAGACTTGTGGACTTCGGCTCCCAGAATTCTGGGAGTTGAAGTCCACAAGTCTTAAAGTGGCCACGGTTGGAGACCCCTTCCCATACACAACGTCTGTGTGTCCCCTGGAAAGAACTGGGGAGATCAAGGACTGAGAACTGGGATGTGGGGTGGGGAATGGCATAACTGCCCATCATACTTCAGGCCAACTTTGCTCTCCCAAGTCTTCCCGCTGGCTACAGTTCCATCACCCACGAGGTCTCAGGTGCAGCAGCATTGCATACCGATTATGCAGGTATTGGTGCCTAGGGATGGATCTGACCGGTCAGAATAAGAACCTGCTATCCATTGAGTTGTCCTTGCATCTGATGTGATGGTGTCCAGTTGATGTCTCTGGCCAATTTGCAGCCAAGTGGGGAGGGAGGAAGAGGAGGCCAAGGAGGTTTCCTCCCACCAAATAGCAAAGACACGGAGAGCTGCACTCAGCTCTCTGCCCTCCACCCCTTTCTCAGCCTTCAAAACTCACCCCACAATCCCCCCAGAAAGGCTGCCCTCGTGCCCTTTGCACCTTCCCTTCCTCTTCCTCTCCATCCTCTCCTGCAGGTGTGGAAGGTCGAAATTTGGCCTTAGGGAAGCCGGCCAGCCAGTCTTCCATCCATCACCATGACATCGTTGGGTCAGCAGACAAAGCTGTGGATGGGAACTGCAACGGGGACTGGTACAACAACTCCTGCATCCACACCAAAAACGAGATGAACCCCTGGTGGTTGGTGGACCTGGGGGAGCCTCGTAAAATTTCTGTGGTCTTGGTGAAAACCCGCTATGACTGCTGTGCCAAAAGGATGTATGAAGCGGAGGTCCACTTAGGAAATTCTCTCAAAGACCACGGAAGAGCCAACCCTCTGTAAGTAGCTTGGAGCCAGTCATCCCCAGGTATCCTCCAGGTATTTGTGGTGCCCCTCGCACAGAGAATTCACAAGCAGTGTAGATGATTTTGCGGGGCTGTACAGTGGTGGGATTCACATTTTTTTACTACCAGTTCTGTGGGCATGGCTGGGTGGGTGTGGCGTGGATTGGTAGACGTGGAAGGGGACGGATACTGCAAAATCCCCCTTCCTTCCCCACTCCACTAACCTGCTTTCCAGCTCCGTTCTCCTGTGCAGGGCAACCAAAGGAGACCCAGCCAATCAGCTGTGGGCATGGCATTCTGTGGGCGTGGTGTTCAGTGGACGTGGCTTGGTGGCATGGTGTTTTGTTGGCGTGGCTTGGTGGGCATGGCAGGGGAAGGATAAAATCTCCATTCCCTCCCCACCCCACTAGCCTGCTTTCCAGCTCCGTTCTCCTGGGCAGGGCAACCAAAGAAGACCCAGCCCATCAGCTGGGACTTGGAAGGCCGACAATGGATGGGGGCGGGGCCAGTCAGAGGTGGGATTGGCCGGTTCTCCGAACTATTCAAAATCTCCACTACCGGTTCTCCAGAACTGGTCAGAACCGGCTGAATACCACCTCTGGTGCTATTGCGTAGGAAGTGCCAATTTTGGCCTGGTGGCCAAGGTGGCATGAGTCCATTGGTGTGGACATTGTGAGATCACCTCCCTCCTTGCTCCCCCAAGAGACAGGGAATGACCTCGTTTGTTACCACCTCCCTACGCTATGGTCTCCATTGTGGGGGGGGGGGCTGCGCGAACTCCACCTGATTGTTAATTTTCACTATCATTCATGTTGCAAATCGGGTTCCTTCAGCACTGGCTAAAGCACTTGATATGAGGCCATGGGTCTGGGGTAGAAAATGGGGTTTCTCTGCTTGGATTTTGTACAAAATGCTGGTCCCTGCACCTCAAAGAGATGCTCTTAAGTGGAAAATATGGTTCCAAAGTGTTTTGGAGTGGGGATTGCAGAGTTGAGGAGAAGGGAAGGAGGAAAAGGAGGAGGAGGAGGAGGAGGGGAGAGGAGAGGAGAGAAGGAGCAGGAGGAGGAGGGGGAGGACCATGGGGTTCTGACCTCAGTAGTTTTCTTGCAGACATTTCATTTCCCAACTAGCTATCGTCATCAGTGCATGATGTTGTATGATCATTGTTAGGGATATACACCCTAGCAGAACCTGCACGGCAGTCAGGCAGGCAGGCAAATATGTGAGATAAACGCTTTTGTAGCTTACACTCAGTAAAACAGATACACTGTGCTAGTTAAATAGTTTATTCCAGTAAGATTTTTAGCATAGTCAAACAGTCCATATATCATTCACTAGTTCAGTCCGTCCGGGGATTATTCAGTTGCAAAGTCCAGTGTCGAAAAAGAGGTCATTAAACTTACAAATATCAGTCCAGTAATATATCTCTTCGCAGTAGAGATATGAAGAAGTAAAACCTCCTTTCTTCCTTCAGCAACAGCAGGGAACACGCAGTTAACAATCCATCATCGTCAGCAATCAATCCAGTTCTCTTGCTCCCTCTTATGGCGATTTACAGCCGCACCCAAAATTACATGCTTTGCAGTTAAAGTGACACACACTTAAACTCACTATCATAGTCTATATATATTATTTTACCCAAACTACGTTAGGTAACCTATGTTATTCCTAACGATCATCGCTGCACGAAACCCCTTCAAGAGAACCACCAAACTCAGAGAGGACCCCGCAAAGAAAGGTAGACTCGGTCATTACATTCCCTCGGAGAAACTGTTGCACAAAGGAGCAAAAGAGATATTTTCCTTGATAGAGCGATCAAAGTACGGTTTTTTAAAATAAAAACACACCACACCCCTCCACAGGCCTTCCCACTCGGTTAATATTTCCAATTAATCGGAATATTAAAGGCACCATGGAGGCACAACAGCAGAGCAGGGCTGAGCTGCTAACGGTTCACCCCGGTTTGGAGGAACCGGTGGCTAATTTTATCATTTTTAATGGCCGGTTCGGCGAATCGGTAAATCCCACCCCTGGCTGGCCCCGCCCACCCTGCCCTTCCCCTCCCAGGAGCCCCCACCTCATTTTGGATGCAGGTAAGGACGGGGCCTGCGCAGAGGCTCGGGGAAGATGAAAAAGGGGGCTCCAGTTTCTGGCCTCCAGACGGCCTCCGGAGCCTGGGAAGGACTTGAAGGAAGCCTCTGGTGCAGGAGGCCGACTAGGCCACGCCCACCATGGCTGCACCCACCCAGCAACTGGGCAGAGAGCCGGTTGCTAAAAAAATTTGAAGCCCATCCCTGCAGCAGAGGCAGCAGAGGGTGTGAGGTCTGGACTGCTGCTGAAATGGGGCTGCCTTTGAAGGTTCAAGGGGGGGGATGGAGACTGTGTCCTCAGGTTGAGGGTGGGGTGACCAGCAGGTGGGGAGGCTCTCCTCAACGTGACCTCTCTTGCCCCACAGCTGTGGAACCATCCTGAACGTCAGCCCGGGCTCCATCACTACCATCTACTGCAACGGGCAGGAAGGCCGCTACATCAGTGTCCACTTGCCCGCAAAGGACTACCTGAACATGTGTGAAGTGGAGGCCTACGGCATCAAGTAGAGAAACCACGGCTTGGGTTGGGGGCCAACCAGTCTCCTACAAAACGCCGATTGCTCTCCCAAAAGAATCTGAATAAATGGGCTACTAAGAGGCATTCTTGGGTTTCCTCTGATTTTTAGTCCTCCAAGGCAGTGGCGGGATTCAAATTTTTTTTATAGTACCGGTTCTGTGGGCGTGGCTTGGTGGGCGTGGTGCGGCTTGGTAGGCGTGGCATGATGGGCGTGGCAGGGGAAGGTTACTGCAAAATCCCCCTTCCCTTCCCTCCCCACCCCACTAACCTGCTTTCCAGCTCCGTTCTCCTGTGCAGGGCAACCAAAGGAGACCCAGCCGATCAGCTGGGACTCTATGGAAGGCAGAGAAGAGATGGGGTTGGCGGGGCCAGTCAGAAGGGGTATTTGCCGGTTCTCCCAACGACTCAAAATTTCCGCTACCGGTTCTGCAGAACCGGTCCGAACCGGCTGAATCCCACCTCTGTTCCAAGGGAAGAGAGATTTGTGTCCCCCCGCCTTCTGCAGTGGCCAGGGCACCTGCTGGTGAACAAGACAGAACATTTTTTTTAATGGGAGGTGGGCTTTGAGTGTCTCCCCACCACAGACCCCGGCTGGTGTCCCCAGCAGGCACCCAGGATTCGGGCCTTCCTGGGGACGGTGGTTTCCCCAGCCTTCATGGCAACCGCCCAGAGACTGGTAGAAGACGGGCAGCTCTACAAATATTTTAAATAGATACAGAAAACTCCAGGGGACAAATGTTTCTGTGGTGACACATTGACCGGGCCTTGCAGGTGCCACACAGGACTTTCCATGCCACAGAGAGCTACGGCACACATGCACAAGCACACACAGACCTCGCACTTGTGCACAATCAGGCCCTGAGGTGGAGCTCATCCGAATCTGGCCTCACCCGCCCAGCACAAGTGCCCACAAATGAAGAAAATTGTGGAGGAACTTCAGAAATGGACTTTTTCCCTGATTCGCTCCTCTAAAATAGTCCCCTCTCCTGGCAGCTACAATCCCTTCCTTCCTTCCTTCCTTCCTTCCTTCCTTCCTTCCTTCCTTCCTTCCTTCCTTCCTTCCTTCCTTCCTTCCTTCCTTCCTTCCTTCCCTCCCTCCTCCCCCTCCCTCTTTTCCCTCATTGCCTCCCTTCCTTTCTCCCTCCATCTTTTTCCTTCCTTCCTTCCCTCCTCTCCCTCCCCCTCTTTTCTTCCTCCCTTCCCTTCTCTCCCTTTTCCTTCATTCCCTCCCACTTTTTCCTTCTTTCCTCCCTTTCCTCCTTCCTACCTACTTAGCAATAGCACTTAGACTTATATACCACTTCACAGAGCTTCACAGCCCTCTCTAAGCAGTTAACTCTGTTAGGTATAACATTGATACCAAATATGGTTTGGGTGAATAAATATATAAAACTTAGATATCATGGTTTAAGTGCTTATCACTTTAAGCACAATGTTGCAGGCAATTAGCCGATTAAGGGTGCGGTTAGAAGTTACAATATAAGGAAGCATTAGAAGCTGGAAAACTTACTGTGACTAACTGTGAATACTGTTTGTACTGTGCCTGTGACCGAGATGATCCTGTCTGCTACTGTTTGCTGATTTACTGCGGAATTCAACTGTTCTACTGTTTGAGCGTCTTGCTGAATATCCAGCGTTTGTTTCTCTGGAGAGAGGCACCGGAGGAGGAGAAGATATCTTTATCGGCTGATAAAGATATTGTAAGGACTCTTAACTTGGACTGTAATAGTGAGTCTTACTGGATGGAAATATAGTGAATGACAAATGGACTGAATGACAATGCTTTAAACTCTAAATGGATTAAAAACTATTTAAACTACAAACAGTGTTTGTGTTCAGTGTGTGTATACTCTGGGGCCCTTCCACTCTCGTTTGGCTGCCTGGCTTGACTACTGCTGCAATACTCTGCTAGGGGTTAATCCCCTAACACTAACAAACTCTAACCCTCCTCCCTCCCTCCCTTCCTTCCTCCGCTTCCTCCCTCCCCTTCCCTATTTTCCCTTCTTTCCTTCCTCCCTTCGCTTCCTCCCTCTCTCTTTTTCCTTCCTTCCTTCCCTCCCTCCTTCCCTTCTTCCCTCTCATTTCGCCAGTCCCTCCTAGTGGGGAGGTCAAGGATCCAGGCACATCCATGCAGCTCAAGGCCCAAGGATGGAGACCATGGCAGTGGAGGGACTCTGCCAAGGAGGCTTGGAGGATTGCAATGGGTCCCTGGGTCAGCCTTTGGGTCAAAAAGGGCCTCCGTTCTTCATCTGCTCTCTATCACTCCCCTCCGCATCCACATGTGACATGATCACCGTCTTCCAGTATTTGGGGGCTGCCCCCACGAAGAGGGGGTCCACCTCTTCTCCAGAGCACCAGAAGGCAGGAAAGTCCTCAAGGAGAGAAGCGATTTAGAACTCAGGAGGAATTTCCTGACCGGGAGAGCAATCGACCCGTGGAACTACTTGCCTCCACGAGTTGTGCGTGCTCCATCCTTGGAGGCCTCTGTTAGGGATAACATTGTTTTACCCTAACTGTTTTGGGTAAAGATAATAAAATGATGAATCATGGTTTGTCAGATAAAGTGTATGTGACTTTAAGCTAAAGGAATGTAATTAAGGGTGCAGCTGTAAAAGTACTATATAAGCAGCAAGGCACTCTCTGGCTCTCACTGGCTGGCTTATTGAAGACTGCGTTCTTGCTGGATCGGGGAGGAGAAGAAGTGTTGGATTACTTTGAAGATATTTCTCAACGGAGAGAAGATAAGTTTTGGACAGATTTATTATATGTGTACTGACACTGGCTATTCGACACGGACTTTGCAATTAGAGTATCCTCGACAAGACTTGACTGAATTTGGTATTTGACTAATGGACTGTTTATAATGACTATGCTATAATTCTTAAATGGAATAAATTATAATTTTTGATAGCACAAGCGTATCTGTATTTTTACTGCGTGTTAACTAGAAAACTTATCTCACACATTTACCTGTCTTCCTATCTGACTTCGCTGCACATTCTGTTTAGTTTGTTTTCCTTAACACCCATTGGGGAATCCAGGCTTAACACTGGTTATGGGCCCAGAGAGACTGCAAAGTCAATTTAACTAGGATAAAAACAGGTTTATGTAAAAAGTGAGATTTTTGTGTTGTTACACGTTACAGTAAACAGACAGCTGTGTTTTATCAATTATAGTTTTATATCCATATAGTGAAATATGGTACAAGACAGTCTACAAAGTTTGTCCCTTATATCCAAGCTGGATGGAACAAACTATGTTTCATGGTCTATGAAATGTAGTCTACTTCTACGAAGAGAAGGTCTGTGGAACATAATTGAAAACCCACCAAACGTAGAAGAATGGGATCCTGAAGATGAGGAAGATAGTAAAAAGATAGAAGAATTTAAACAGAAAAATGAGCAAGCACTTTGCATCATAGGACTATCATTAACTGATCAGCAGCTTGTTCATATACGCGGAGAACAAACAGCTGTTGGGTGTTGGCAAAAACTGAGGAGGATTTATGTCCGAGATAACGTTGGTGCTCACATAAATCTAACACGGAAGCTTTTCCGCACGTATCTCCAAAAGAATGGTGATATGCTGAGTCATTTGAACACTATGAAAAGCATTTTTCAAGAACTTCATGAGAAGGAGTTAATTTTCTCTGAGCTACACCAGGTCTACATAATTCTATCTTCATTAGACGAAAGTTTTGATGACTACGTAACTTCCCTTGAAATATTGCCTAAAGAAAGCCTAACTTTAACTGATATCACTGGCAGATTGATTGAAGAGGCCAGAAGAAGGCTTGAAAGAGATCAGTTAAGGAGGGAGCAACCTCAAAAGGAAAATAATGAATCTCCTACTGCATACACAATTAAAAAGTGTTTTAATTGTGGAGGGAGAGGACATTTTGCAAGATTTTGTAAGAAACCAAAGCGCAAGAATGTAAGCCAGAATACTGGAAGACATCAAAGAAGAAATAAGAATTATGAGTTAGCAATGTATAGTAATGGAGTTGTAAAAAATAATTTATGGGTGGTTGACAGTGGTGCGTCCCACTGTATTACAAATGATAACAAAAAATTTGTAAAAATGTCCATGAGTTCACAACATATCTCATTGGCAAACGGATGGAAAATGAAGGCAAAAGGTCAAGGTATTGTTCATTGTTCTAGTATAAATGAGAACATAAAAATGTTATATGTACCTCAACTTAAATTTAATTTGCTTTCTGTTAGAATGTTGGTTAGATTAGGATACATAGTTACCTTTAGGGGAGATACTTGTTTAATTGAAAAAGAAGGTAAGAAAATTACTGCATCTTTAAGAGGTGAATTATATGTGTTAAATAATAATGGTTTAGAAGTGGCTAACACAGTTTATGAAAATAAGAAACCTCATGATGAATGTATTCACTTGTTACACCGAAGGTTAGGTCATTTAAATTTTAAAATGATTAAGAGAACTGTTCAACTATCTAAAGGAATAAGTTTGAAACCTTGTAATAAGTATTTGCAATGTTCTGCTTGTAATCAAAACAAAAGCAAAGTTATACCGGCAAATAGAGTTGATGGATTTACTACCAAAGAGCCTTTAGAGGTAGTATTTGCCGATATAATAGGTCCTAAAAAGCCAAGTGTAGGTGGTGCTAGATACATATTAAGCATAATGGACCACTATTCTAGGTATGGTTTCTGTTTTCTAATGAAGAGAAAAACTGAAACGTATACAAATTTCTTTAATTGGTTAAAATTTGCAGAGAGGAAAACTAAAAAGAAATTAGTAACTCTTATAACAGATAATGGTGCGGAATTTACAAATAATAAATTCCAGAATAGACTTAGAATGGCAGGTATCCAACATAAAAAGTCTGCACCATATAGGCCTCAACATAATGCATTTATAGAGAGGAGAGGCCAAACACTGCAATCAATGGGAAGAACTATGTTATCTGATTCTGGATTACCTGACAATTTGTGGGGAGAAGCTATAATGTGTGGGAATCACATATTAAACAATGTTGTTAATTCAACAACAGGTGAATTACCATTCACTCTGTGGCATGGTAGGAAACCTGATTTGAGTTACATTCACTCATTTGGTGCACCAGCATGGGTGCATATCCCTACACAACTCAGGCACAAAGGACAACATAGAGCTAAAAG